GGGGGGGGGGCTCTCACCACAACAGGTGCCTGCGGGGGCTGCATAGCGCGCGCCCAGCGGACCGTGCATGCAGCAGGAGGAGGCCCAGGTGCATTGCTGCTGCCGCGGTGCGCCCAGGTGTGCGGGTGGTGCGCCCAGGTGTGCGGGTGGTGCGCCCAGGTGTGCGGGTGGTGCGCCCAGGTGTGCGGGTGGTGGTGCCCCCAGGTGCGCTGTTGGCGTGGTGAGCCCAGGTTGCTGGTGGTGAGCCCTGGTTGCTGGTGGTGAGCCCAGGTTGTGGGTAGTGCGCCCAGAGGCGCTTGGTGATGCGCCCATGTACGCTGCTGGTGCGGCGCTCAGATGTGCTGGTTTTGCGCCCAGGTGCGCTGCTGTGCTGGCGTGGTACACCTATAGGTATGCGCCTTGCCTTACCTCTCTGCTTAAAGCTTCTCCACCCTCCACCTCGTTGGTGTGGAGACCCTGAACGAGCCGATGGAGCCGGCAACACGCGCATTTCTTTTGACGGGCTGGGCGGCGGCGTAGGATCGCTTTCAGCACGAAAAGTGCGCGGTTCCGCCCGGTCCAGTCGTCAAGTCCCGTCCAGAGAACACCCTTCTCGGGTGTTCCGCCGCCGCCCGGGTGGGATTGATGTTGGTAGCGCGGCCCGGACGGCGAAACACACACTCCTCATCGGAGCCCTCCGAATGGATCCGATCCGGTAGCGGGGCGTGGCAGGGCGTGGCAGGGCGTGGCAGGGCGTGGTGGGGCGTGGCAAGGCGTTGCGGGGCCGAAGTGGACTCATGGGAACGCCTGCCAGACGTCATCTCCGCAGCAGCAGAGTCTCTTCGCGGACGACACGAGACGACTCGGGGGCGGGGTGGGGCGGGAGACGGGAGGAGCTTTTAGGCGGCCATTACATTAATTATGAAGCCTCCCGATGGCGCCTCTGCGCGGCCCGGGCAGCGCTCTCCGAGTACAGGCAGTTACAGAGACGAGGAGGCGAACCTCGGCCAAATGTTGCAGGAGAAGGTGACAACACTGCAAATCCCTTTCAAATTTGTAAAATCGTGGAAAAAATCATGACATTGCTAAATTAACTTCTTAGCTGGTATTGTTTACCTGTCTAGCTCAAGGGGGTTATTTCGATTTCGAACAGTTAGCTATACACGTATGTACCAAAATCAATTATTAGGTATTCATATTAGGTGGCTGATTGATTAAGCCTGCTCAATTTTTAGTAATGCAATACTCTACCACATGCACGCGGGCGGGCGGATTGCCTACCCGCCTGGTCCTGCCAGGGGCAGGTAGCTAAGAGGCTGTGCCTCTGCCTCCGCATGCTCTTCTGATGCGCTGGTCCATGGTTTTTGTCCCGCGCCGGCTCATCTTGTTGTTTCGCTGTTTACTTTCCTCCCCGTTCCACACAGGTGTAAGACGCGCGCCTCTCTCTTGCAGGACGGGCCGCTGCCGCCGCTGTTCGGAGAGCCGATGCCGCTCGCCGCCACAGACGTCGACGGCGACCCCGTCGACCTCTCGGCGCCGGCGAGGCTCCACGGCCTGGCCAGGCTAGACCCCGAGCACGACCCTGGTGAGTACACACACACACTCACCATGCTGATCTTGTCCCCACCCCATTCCCCAATGGGGGTACAAAGGTAGCGCATAGCGCGTAGCACGTAAATCTTTTGAATTTTTAAAAGCCGTTCTTTTTTTGTCATTGTTTTTTCAAGCTGCAAAAAGAAAGAGGAGATGAATGGAAACTTACGCAGAGTGAAAACCAAACAGAGCGGTGAGGGTGGTGAGGGTGGTCCTTCTCGCCCGCGTGACCTCGCGTGCCCATTAGAGAGGCGCCGCCGCGGTGGTGCGGCCCCGCGGCCGGCCCGGCCCGGGCGATAAGGCGGATGATTTGTTTCTGGGAGCGCATCCGCGGGCGGGGAGAGGCAGAGCAGGCAGAGCAGGCAGAGCCGGGGCCTTAATTGCTACCAGTCACCCCCTTTCACCGGGGCATAACAGGACCGCGGCGGCCGGGCGCGCACGCACCCCGGCCGGGGCGAGGCGGGGCGGGGCGGGGCGGGGTGATGTTGGACCAAGACCAAGCATAGGACGGTGCTGAGCTCCACACTAATCGTCGTGTTTTCCTGTTTTTCAGTTTGCGTGCTCCCAATTCGACGGGACGCGGGCGGCTTACTCCACCTTAAACTATAAGCCGAAGAGGTTGGCGGATCGCGTCTCGGAGGAAGTCTGCGTGGACGTCGAGTGGATGAACCGAGATGCACGGCGAACGGACGAAGGCGGTCCACCGGCACCTGGTGGAGA